GGACCACGAATCCAAGATTCGACCCTCCCGCTTGAAGAGTGCCCCAGGAGGCCCCAAGGAGCCCCCAAGAGGCCCCATGAGGCCCCCGAGAGGCACCCAGGAGGCCCAAACGAGGCTTCAAAAGGCCACAAAACAGCCCCGAGGAGGCCCCACTACGGCCCCCAAACGGTCACCGAGAAGATGCGAAACTGCGTTCACGACGTTCCCGACAGGCCAACCACGAGATCCAAACCAACACCCATGAGGCCTCTGACCCACCACCTAGGGCACCCGCCGCCCGTTCGCCGTCCGCGTAGCACGCACCACTCTGTACTCAACAGCTTCAGTCTCCAAGACAACACCCTGTAGTCAACAGCCCCCGTCTTCAAGGCAACACCCTGTGCTCAACAAGCTCCCGCTGCAAGAGAGCATCCTTAAGGAATTCATTCAAATCCCGACCCGCCCGCCCGCCCGCCACCCGCCCGCCCGCCGCCCGCCTGGCCGCTCGCCCGCCTTCCGCGTAGCACGCGCCACCCTGCACTCAACAGCCTCCGCCTCCAAGACAACACCTAGCATTCAACAGCCCCCAGCGCTCCCGGGACTGCCCAGGTCCGCTCCCAAACGCGCCACGACACGCCAAGAGGGCCTTAAAGCTTGCCAAGACAGCCTCAAGAGGCCCCGGACACGCCGAAGATGGCCTCAGGACGGCCGACGACGCCGCCAATACGCCCCAAGAGCGCCTCCAGAGGCCCCTCCACAGGGCCCCGCATTTTTGCGCTATCGCATGTTCCGCCTCCCCACGGCGTCAGAGGCCGTTCAGATCGCTCCAAGACGGCCGAAGAGGCTCTCAAGAAATACCAGAGACGGCCCAGGAGGCTCCCCAGATGATTCAACAGGGCTTCGAGAGCGCCCCAAGAGAGCCCCAAGAGCGACCCAAGAGGGCCCGAAGAGCGCGACATTTCAAGGTCTCCAGCCTGAGAGGCTCTTAGGACGCCCCCGGAGGCCATCAAGAGGCTCCCAAGAAGCCCCGTGAGGCTCCCAAGAGGCCCCCCGGAAGCCCCAATGAGTTCCCAAGAGGCCCCAGGGAGGCCCCCTGCGGGCCCCCAAGAGACTTCGGTAAATCGTATTTCCCAGAGCTTTCCGGGAACATGATTCCTTGGGCTTCATTCCACCGCCCCAACCATGTTTCCAATAGGTTTGCCGATAAGGCCAAAAAGGGCCCCTCGGTAAGCCCCCAGAGGCCCCCCTGTTAGGAGAGCCGAACAAATCATGTTCCCGGAAAGCTTCCGGGAACATGATTCTCGGGTTGCCGCCTTCTCCCCAAACCATGTTCCCTGAACGCCCGCCAGGATAAAAACACGAGAGCCCCAAGCAGCGCTACCTGCCGTCATGCTCGGAAACGCGTCAGGTTCCGAAGCCTCCGGAGGCGCCCAACGACACCCCAACAAATAATGTTTCCAGGAAGTCTTACGGTCAGTGCCGCCGACGTTGAAGGAGGACGGTCCAGGACACCCAGAAATCTCCCAAACAGGCTTCCAAGAGGGCGCCGAGACAGCCCAGGGCCGCCCCCACACGGCCCAAGAAAGCCCCAACACAAACGAAAAGGGCCGCAAGAGGCCCCCAGGAGGCCCGGAAACGAGGACATACCGTTCGAACGCGCCCAAGATGGCCCCCAGACGGCCCACAAGGCTTCCAACACGGCCCAAAGGGACGCCAAAATCATTGATCTTCGATTTTTGATGGGTTTCAGACACCCCACGAGGGCGCCGAGACGGCCCACGAGGGCGCCGAGACGGCCCAGGGACGGCCCTCGCGCCGGGAGGCCCGGGGGCCTTGCCGTGGCGCTGGGGGCCTTGTAAAGTCGCCAGAAGACGGCCCTGGATTGCCAGAAATGGCGTTTCCAGACAACGAACACGACCAATGACCGCCCGAGATCACCCCAGAATTGGCCCCTGACTGTCCAAGAGGCTCCCAAGACGCCCCAAGAGGTCTCCAAGATGGCTCCCAAGGAGCCCCAGGAGGCACAACTTATTTGGCTTCCAGGCCCCTTCGAGTTCTCGCCTTTTGAGTTTCCTGACGCCCCACGACGGCCCAAGAGGCTTCAATTTCCGCTCCAAGGCATCCCCAGAGGCCTCGAAGACAGTCTCAAGACAGCCCACGGGGGTCCCAAGACGGCGCCAGAGGCGTCCAAGGCGGAGCGAGAGGGCCCCAACACGGCCCCAAGATGGAGGGTTGACACGACCCGAAAATCCGAGTCTTCCATCCCGAGAGGCTCTCAGGAGGCCCCAAGAAGCCCTAACAGGCTCCAAGAGGCCCCAAGAAGCCCCCCCAGGGGGCCGAAGCGTATCCAAGAGGCCTCCCACGAAGGCCCCAAGAGGCACAAATCCATGTCTTGCCGTAGGTGTTTGATTGATGTTCGAGGTTTAAGCCTTTTGGCGTCCTGACGCTCCAAGACGGCCCAAAAGGCCTCCAAGACCAATCCAAGATAGCCCACGAGGCCTCCTACAGGGCCCAAGACAGCCCGCGAGGGCACCAATACGGCCCCAAGGGGGGCCCAAGAGGGGCAAGACGAACCGAAAATCCGAGCCTTCCACCCCGAGAGGCTCTCAGGAAGCCCCAGAGGCCCCCAAATGGGACCCAAGAGGCCCTCAAGAAGCTCCCCAGAAGGCCGAAGAGGTTCCAAGAAGCAATGTTTTCCCATCGGCTTTTGATGGATTTTAAAGTTCCCAGCCTTTTGGCTTCCCGACGCTCCAAGACGGCCCAAGAGGCCCCCAAGACCGCAGAGGCCTCCAAGAGGGCCCCAAGACGGCCCACGAGGGCCCCAAGACGGTGCCCGAGGCGCCCAAGACGGCCCGAGAGGGCCCCAAGAGGGCCCCAAGAGAGCCCCAAGAAGGTGAACGCGAACCCAACAGCAGAGCCTTTCGCCCTAAGAGGCCCACAGGAGGCCCCAAGAGTCCCCAAGTGGTTCGACGAGGCCCACCAAAGCCCCCCACCAGGCCACAAAAGGTTCACAGGAGACGTACACGGGGCCAATCCATATTGCTTCAAGGAGGCCCCGGGAGGCTTCCGGATTGCCCCAATGTGGCCTCAAGCCGGGCCTCTACGCAGCCAAGACGGCCAATTGTCTGCCTCAGGCTGCAGAACATCACTTTCCGACTGCCCGGAGAACCCTGACGATGCCCTCACGGGACCCCAAGAAGCTCCAAGATGCCCCCCGAGAAGCACCCAAGATGTGCCTGCAACAGCCAATTGAGGAAGCATGGAGGGCCCCCCAGAAGCCCTTCAGATGCCCCCACGAAGACCCAAGAGGTTTCCAAGAGGCCCTCAGGAGGCACGACTATATCACGCGCCTGTGCTTGATAGCGCTGTCCAAGATCCTCAAGCGCGCCCCTGGCCTGGGCTAGAACCTGAGCGCGCGCGAAGCGCGCGCGATGGTTCTAGTGTGTATATATATATATATATGTATGTGTCCCTTGGCCCCTTTAGTGTGATCTTAGAGACCGTCTTGGGTCAGCTGGTGCCCTTATGGGGCCAGGCCACCTTGGACGCTCCAGTGGCCCTCGCGGGGGGGGGGTCCAGGCCCGAGGAGAGGGATCCAGGGCATAAATATTCAGATCTCTCCCCCGATGGGAAGAAGGGTGTTGGCGACCGCTACAGTCAACCCGCATAGTAAGAATGACCAACTTTCCAAGGTTCACCCTTGCATCCTTCCCCTTCGGCCTGTCCTTGGCCGCGCTCGCTGGCCGCGCCCCGCTCGCAAAGTGTCGAAATGGCCTTCCAGGGCCCTTGCATCCCTATCGTGCGTCCTCATTGTGCGCGTTGACCGTACTCCTGAAGCCTCCTACGCCCAAAGGGCTGGTGAGATAGGCCAGGGCAGCGGGTCGGGACGTTCTCCGACCCGGGTCTCATCGCGCCAGATTTGGCAGAGCCCTGGTTTGCAGTGTTCTGGCTCATGAGGCCCCGACGGGCCCCAATGAGGGATCAGACGCGCCCGAGGTCCTCGATCCTCAAGGCCCCGGGTCGCCCCTCCCTCCCCCTCCTCACTCCTGCTGTCGAGGACTCTCGGACGGTTGGCTGTCTTCGAATGAGGCGCCTCCCGCAATGAGAGCAGATTCCTGCAGGGACCTGTGAAGAGGGAATTTGGAGGAAGGATGTACTGCAATATCATTGATGCGTCTTGGGTTCATACTGGTCAGCCCTCCTTCTCAGGGGGCTCGACAACGGAGGCAGGTGGGGCGCGCCTGAGGCGTGCTCATGCAAGTCTGTCGAGACGATCCCGTTCTCGACGAGCCGTCGGTCGTCGTGTTCTCGTTGCCGCTCTGCAGGGATGGCACCTCTTCTCGCCGTCGTCGGTCGTCCTCCGGGGCTGTGCGCTCCTCAGGGCGTTCGAGGGCTGATATTTTTGTTCCGCCTCCCTGAGACGTCTTGGTCCCCCCAGTTTGCCCCCCCCCCCCCTGCCTCGCCCTCCCAGGACCAATCAATGGTCTGCATGCGTTCGCAGCCAATGCGACGATCATTGGCTTTGGCTTTTTTTCCCCTCCTTCCCCTTCCTCCGCTCTCCTCCTGTCCCGCTCCTCCCCCCTCCAGCCGCGAGCGGCACACTCCTGACTCTTTTGCAGTGGAGGCCCATGCCAAGAAACACACTGCTCACCTCCAGGGTGCCCTGGGTTTCTTTGGTTTCGAGGGTTCTGCTGTGGAAGGCGCGACGTTCCCACACCGAAACTCGATGGACGTCCTGGGGTCTCAGGGTTGGCGTTCTCGTGCAAGGTGTTCAGCCTGGCCTGGCCTCGGGGGAGGAGGAGGAGCAGGGAGGAGGAGGAGGGAGGAGGAGGTAGGAGGGAGGAGGAGGTAGGAGGAGGAGGAGGAGGAGGAGGAGGAGGAGGATGGATGGATGGATGGATGGATGGATGGATGGATGGATGGATGGATGGATGGATGGATGGATGGCTGGATGCACTGGCCTCCACTGCATCTGCCAGCGCGCCGCTTGAGCGCCGGGCTCGACGGACTGCTCCCCCGCAGGAGATCGCGAGGGCCTGCGGGGCGAAGTTCGGGTCCGTGCGCAGGGCGGAGGCGGGGGGGCACGTCATCGCCGGCAGGACGGGGGCGCCGGTCCTGCTGCTCGGTGGGGAGGCGCAGGCCTCGACCGCCCGGGGGCAACCTCGGAGGGGGAGGGCAGCCTCAAGTCGGGCCTGGGCCTGTCCCTCTACAGGGGGAGTGGTCAGAAGCAGTCCAAAACTAGTCTGGTGATTTTTTTTTGACCATTTTGAGGGCATTTCTATGGTATTTTCTTCTTTTTTTTTTTTTGCATTTTCTTGGTATTGTCAAATTTTCGTCCAAGATTCCCCTGCAGGGGGGACAGGCCCGACCTAAGGGTAGCCACCAGGCTGGAACAGATCCCCGTCCTCACACGTGTGTCGGCGGGCGAACGGGTGGGGTAACGTCAGGAGGAGGAGGATGCCCTCTCAGGAGGCGGCGGGGCCCTCTCAGAAGCCCTCCGGCCTTCCGAGGAGCTGCACGTGTCTTCGGGGGGAGCTTTCAGAGAGAGTTTGTCGGGAGGCCGATGGACTGCCGAGCCTTCTGAGAAGGCCCGCGCCCTCTCACCTGCCCCCCGTGGCTGGCCGCCGGTCGGCCCTGATCAGTAGGTCGACCCTGCCAAATCAAGGGTACCCTTAGGTTTAAGTCGGGCCTGTCCCTCTGCAGGGGGAATCTTCAGAAATAGTAGAACAATAGTCTGGGGACTGTGTTTTGAGTTTTTGTTTGGCATCTGTTGGGCATTTTTTGAGTATGTCTTATTTCTCGCCCAAATTCCCCGAATAGGGGGACAGGCCCGACCTACCCTTAGGTACCCTTGTGTCCTGTGCCTCGCGACCCATGCCTCCTGCATCCCCCCGTGGCAGGTGTGGTCCTCGGAAGGGTCTTGTGTCTCCTCTCGCGCGTCCTGTCCGATCAGGGCCGACTGTATGCTTGGCATCGCCTCGCCTCGATGCCAAGCTCAAGGATTCCCCCAGTTTCTGAGGCCACACACCAGGGGGGAAAACACACAGATACAATTCATCGTCGATTCCCCAGAAGATATGGGAAGATATGGGAACTGAGGGGGGAAGACGAAAACACCAAAAATATGGTAAAAGATGGGGAATATTTTCATTTGTGTGTACTTATTTAATCGCTTCGCTCATTCCGCCGGCCCTGGAGCGCTATTTGGGGCCTCTTGGGGCCGTCTTGGGGGCTTCTTGGGAGCGTCTTGGGGCTCCTTGGCGGCGCATTGGGCTCCCCTGGGGCCTCTTGGGGGGCTCTTGGGGCAAAATATGGGGAATATTTTTATTGGTGTGTATTTATTTGTGTGTCCCAGGGCCCCATCCACACACGCGCGCGCGCGCCCACCGGGACCAGAGGCCGTCTCCCTGCGCGGGAGGCGCGGCGGAGCCTCGGCTCTCTGGTCCCTGAGGTGTGCTGTCGGCACGGCGCCATGTCGGGCGTGTCCCCCCACAGGGGGATTTTCGACGAGAAATAAAAAAGATACCCCCAAAAATAGTAAAACAAAAATCATCCATAAATAGTCAGGGGACTATTTTGGGGGTATTTGTTGGCCTGTTATGTCGGGCGTGTCCCCCTACAAAGGAATGTTCGACGAAAATTAAAAATATCCCAATTACTCCGACGGAAGGACCCCACATGATAATCTGTTTAGCTTTCCCTGATCCCTTTCCTCCCGGCCATGGCAAACACCCTCGTATCGCCCCTAGCAACGTCCGCCCGACATCGCCGATGTTGACGTTGCTGCCCCTCCTCTTCCTCCTCCTCCTCCTCCTCCTCCTCCTCCTCCTCCTCCTCCCTCCTCCTCCTCCGCCTCCTCCTCCTCCTCCTCCTCCTCCTCCTCCTCCTCTTTCCTCCTCCTCCTCCTCCGACCCCTCCTCACGACTCGGTCTGGCGCTGGCCCCCTCCCCCTCCTCCCCCTCCTCCCCCTCCTGCTGCTCCTCGCCTCCCTCCTCCTCTCCTCCTCCTCCCTCCTCCTCTCCTCCTCCTCCTCCTCCTCCTCCTCCTCCTCCTCCTCCTCCTCCTCCTCCTCCTCCTCCTCCTCCAGGACCCCCGGGCACGTGCATCTATGAAAAACTCTCTCAAATGCTAATTGTTTCATAATGAAAATAGGGCGTTGCGTCGTTTTCGTTCTCGAGGGGCCGTTTTCGTGACGCATGCCAAAGAAAAACGTACATTGCGTTCCATCCCCCTATGGGGAAATTGCAAAATGTGCTGCTCGTCATCCGCAATCATCGATTTCAAAGCGTTTCGTGAGGGTTTTCCATCGAGCGCCCGCGCCAGGCTCAGCTCCGTTTCCGGCCAACGCGATTCCTCCCCCGACGCCCGAGAAAAAAAATGCGTTAGTGACCCCTTAGTCCATTGAAACATCGGTGTTAGGAAAAGGGGGGGTCAGAAAAAACTGGAGAGGGGACCTTTTCAAGTTCCCTCTCCAGTTGGAACGCGCGGGAAAGTGAACCTTTGCAAGTTCCCTTTCCCGCTGCTGGAGAGGGAACCTTTTCAAGTTCCCTCTCCAGTTGGAACGCGCGGGGAAGTGAACCTTTGCAAGTTCCCTTTCCCGCTGCTGGAGAGCGAACCTTTGCAAGTTCCCTCTCCAAGGGAAAGTGAACCTTTTCAAGTTCCCTTTCCCGCGAATGAAGGGTGAACCTTTTCAAGTTCCCCCTTCACTCCGACGACAAGGGGGGACAGGGAACCTTTGCAAGTTCCCTCTCCCGCAGCTAGAGACGTCGAACCTTTTCAAGTTCCCTCTCCAGCCCAATCCTGCCACGAACGGGAAAGTGAACCTTTTCAAGTTCCCTCTCCCGCAGCTAGAGAGTGAACCTTTTCAAGTTCCCTCCCCAGCCCAAACGAACGCGGGAGAGTGAACCTTTTCAAGTTCCCTCTCCCGCCGACGACGACAAGGTTGGCCAGCAATTGGACGTGGGCAAGTCGAAAGAGAATATTCAGGCCGCAGGAGCGAGTTCCCCTTCGATCCTCCAAGTGACGACAAGAGACGGTCCTCAGACGGGACTACCCGCACCGCCCACAGACAAAGTTCCCGCTTGATACTTCCCCCTTGTTCAGGCCGCAGGAACTGAGGAGCCCAAAAAGCTCGCTCGGATGACCCGCTCGGGTTCGAACATGAAGTGCGTGCCCCACAGGGATGGAGCGCCCGCCTGATACTTCTCCCATATTCAGGCCTCAGGAGCCCAAAAGCGACGACAGTTACAGGTTTCCGATGACCCGCCTCGGATTGGTAAGATGATCTGCGGGCCCCATAGAGAGAGGCTCCCGCCTGAGACTTCCTCGCAATTCACTCACAGACAACGCTCCCGCCTGATACTTCCTCCAAATTCACGCCCCAGGAGCCCAAAAGTGACGACAGTTACAGGATCCCAATGACCCGCCTCGGATTAGTAAGATGATCTGCGGGCCCCATAGGGAGAGGCTCCCGCCTGAGACTTCCTCGCAATTCACTCACAGACGACGCTCCCGCCTGATACTTCCTCCAAACTCACGCCCCGGGAGCCCAAAAGTCACGACAGTTACAGGATCCCGATGACCCGCCTCGGATTAGTAAGATGATCTGCGGGCCCCATAGGGAGAATCTCCCGCCTGAGATTTCCTCGCAATTCACTCACAGACGAGGCTCCCGCTAGATACTTCCTCCAGATTCACGCCCCAGGAGCCCAAAAGTGACGACAGTTACAGGATCCCGATGACCCGCCTCGGATTAGTAAGATGATCTGCGGGCCCCATAGGGAGAGGCTCCCGCCTGAGACTTCCTCGCAATTCACTCACAGACGACGTTCCCGCCTGATACTTCCTCCAAATTCACGCCCCAGGAGCCCAAAAGTGACGACAGTTACAGGATCCCGATGACCCGCCTCGGATTAGTAAGATGATCTGCGGGCCCCATAGGGAGAGGCTCCCGCCTGAGACTTCCTCGCAATTCACTCACAGACGACGCTCCCGCCTGATACTTCCTCCAAATTCACGCCCCAGGAGCCCAAAAGTGACGACAGTTACAGGATCCCGATGACCCGCCTCGGATTAGTAAGATGATCTGCGGGCCCCATAGGGAGAGGCTCCCGCCTGAGACTTCCTCGCAATTCACTCACAGACGACGCTCCCGCTTGATACTCGAGTGAGTGACGGACTGACTGAGTGATGTGTGACGCCAACGGATGATATCCTCATGTGATGATCGTGATGAGTGAGTGAGTGAGTGAGTGAGTGAGCGATCGAGTGGTGTATGGGTAAGTTTGATGGTGCTGAGGAGGAGAGGCGTGGGTCATGATGATGATGACTGATGATGCTGATGGCGAGAAAGAGGAAGAGAGAGAGAGAGAGAGAGGGTGTGAGATCCTGCGCGGGGGGTGTGCAGAGAAAACAAGAACCCCACTTTGGATGTGGGGAAAATGCCCCAAAAAGGCAAAACAAAATACCCCAAACATATTCCCCATACTATTTTTGGACTATGTTTTGGTTTTTTTGGGGGCATGTTTTATTTTTCGTCGAAAATCCCGCTGTAGGGGGACAGGCCCGACTCAAGCATGGCGTCAATACACCTCTTCGTCGGTCTCCGTGCTCGTCGCGTCGGCCCAACAGCTTCCCGTCTGGAATTGGGGGTGGACAGAACTTCCACCCTGACACGTCGATTAGTGAACTGGCCGGTTTCGGTTCTCGAGAGGGCGCCGCGGCCGTTATTTTCCAGGCTTGCGCCCGCCAGGTTTGGGCCCGAGGTCGTTTTCACTAAACCACGTTCTACTAAAGGGAGGTCTGTCCATCACCGATGGAAGCGCGGTGAGCCCAGCTGTCCGTCGCTTCTTGCATCTTTCTGTACCATCGGGCTGCTGCACCCTTGTGGTTCTCGATCCATTCGCGAACAATGTGGTCGTCGGCAGCTCTCCTCGACCTCGTGAGTGACTCTCTGACACCAGTCTGCCCATGGCTCCAAAACGGGATCACGATCAGACGCCGAATCATATGATGACGCTGTTGATGACGTGGAGGTAGGTGGAGCACATGCAGCCACCGGCCGGCGACGACTACCGTTGATCATGCGCAGCATCTTCCGCTGCACCCGGCTATCTTGTCAGTCAGCTCCTGCGTTAACA